TGTTCACTCCTTTCTTTGGCTCCTCAAGTTTATGAGTTTGAAATTTTTTTATTTATGCCTGAGTGTCTGAATTAGGAGAAATACAATTAAGTATCTTAGAGTTCCAGATGACGTATCATTTACAACCGTTTGTCTATTGTAGTGATTTTTTCTTTATGTGGCTGAATTGAGCAGATATCCATGAATGCAACCTATCATGTTAGATTTTGTTAACATGCTATCATCTTAAAATTCTTATGGTAACATCTCTAGTACACATTCGTTTAGTTTACTGAATTTTCCTGTTTTTATGCTGTCTCCTTACAATGCTCAATAAGTTTGAGATGGTCTATTTACAGTCTGCCCCTGACGGGATTTACTAACACACTAAATAAATTGAGATAGATCCGCTCTAGAATCATATTCTATCACTGAGTTTGGTGGATAAATTGAGTAAATCTTAATATATATCCATGTACATTTATGTATATTGCTTAGATATGAGTTTTTTCAGAGTTTTTTGACATTTTCTTGGATGAATTTACTCATTTTCAGGTGATTGACAAAGTCCAAGAGGAGACAAAACGCCGTTCAGGTATAATATGTGTTTGATGTAAGTAACATTTGTTAATGGCTCGTAGTTAGGACAGCTATGGCACCAGTTAGCTACATGAGAATTTACTAAATCATCGGTTTCTATTAGAGATTAGTTCTGTTTTTGGTTTATTCAATCTCTCCGAAATTTATGTTTTATGATTTGATATTTTAGAGTGTTTTTCTCTGGCTTCTGAAAACCAACATTTGGATCAAGCAGTTCGGTGGATTTTAATTTTTATTTACTTTTTTTTTTTAATTTATATTTTATTTCAAGACACGCCTGTATTTGATTTTGATTTGGGTGGGCAGGCTGGTTGTTGGAAAATTCCTTTTTTGTGGCTTGCCTGATTTCACATATTTTGCATCTTAGTCAGAGTTTTAAGTTAAGTTTGGACAAGCATTTATTCATAGAATATCTGACTTCGTTTGCCGTCTCAATGCGCACAAAATTCTTCATGGTCACATTGCTAAAAACATTTCATTAACTGTGGGTTAAAATTAGGGGAAATACAATCAAGTATCTTAGAGTTCCAGATGAGGTATCCTTAATCACCGTTTGTCAATTGGCATTGATTTTTTCTATATGTGGCTGACTTTAGTAGATATCCATGAGTGCTACCCATCATGTTAGATTTTATTAACATGCTATCATCTTAAAGTTCTTAGGTTTCAGTTTACTAAATTTTCCTGTTTATGCGGTCTCCTTACAGTGTGAAAGAAGTTTAAGATGGTCTATTACAGTCTGCTCCTCGTGAATAACAGTGAGATGTCTGAACGGGATTGACTAACACACTAAATAGATTGAGATAGACGTGACGGCTAGACGACATAGGAATTCCTTTTTGAGCCCAATGGAAATAGTTAGTGAATCAGCAATACTATCTCCTCTAAACTCATCTTCTGTCCCTCAGTTTGGTATTGACAAAATTTGAATACATCTTAATATATCTATTTACATATACGTATATTGCTTAGATATGAGTTTTTCAGAGTTTTGTGACATTCTTTACTCATTTTCAGGTGATTGACGAAGTTCACGAGGAGACAAAAAGCCGTTCAGGTATAATATTTTGTGTTTGATTTAATTAAATTTTTTTAATGGCTCGTTGGTAGGACAGCAAAGGCACAGATTAACTACATGAAAATTTACAAAATCATCGATTCTATTAGAGATTAGTTCTGTTTTTGGTGTATGCAATACACTCTCCAAAATTTATGTTTTCTGATTAGATATTTTAGGGGGTTTTCTGTGGCTTCTTACTTTTCATTGTGCAAGAAAGCCAACATTAGGTTCAAGCTATTGTGAAACTTACCTATATTTGATTTGTGCGGGCATCGCTGGAGTTGGAAATTCCTTTTTGTGGGGCTTTCCTGGTTCCACATATTTTCCTTCGAACATGATAAATATCTTAGATTTATTTCTTGTGTAGAACAGTTGGCAGGACTCTTGAGAGTTTTGAGTTTAGTTTGGACATGAATTTATTCACAGTAATAAAACTGGAGACATTCCGATTTAAATTCTTTGCTTAATATTTACAGATAGAAAGCCAGCATTGGCCGTGGCTTATAGGATAGGTGTCGAGGCAGGGCTGGTGTTTCTGGTGGAAGTAGAGAGAGGTTTGTCTTTCTTTTTTATTCGTTAAACTTAAGATTTTTTTTTCCCTTTCTCATTGTAAGTTTTGTTGACGCACGTGCAGTGCAATAATATAGTAATCTCGCTCTAACTTTGCACATCTTAATGCTCGCAAAATTCATCATGGTTCTGAAGTACAACTTGATAAATACATGTCATTAGTTGTTTGTGAAAATTATGCTATACCATTATTATAGTTATAAACCTCTCTTCGTATTCAAATGTTCTTTTAGATTGGATCTTGATTATTATTTATAGCTGCTCAAGAGTTTGATTAAATGCGACATGGATAAATAAATGTCCGGTAAGTTAATTTCTTGCTTGCTTGTACTGTGACAGGTGGAGGTCGAGGCTGGTGAAATCGCTTGAATTTTTTTTAAAAGGCCACTATGGAGCGGTTTGGTCATGTGCCCTCCTTACTCTTTATTTTGTAAACTGAGATAAATATCCGAAAGTCCATTTGCAGAATTATATTACTTATCTGATGCTGGTTTGTAATGTAATTCTGCAAATGGACTATCGGATATTTATCTCGGTTTGCAAAATAATTTTGCAAATGGACTGTCGGATATTTATCTCAGTTTGTAAACTAATTTTGCAAATGGACTGTCGGATATTTATCTCAGTTTGTAAACTAATTTTGCAAATGGACTGTCGGTTGTTTATCTCGGTTTGTAAACTAATTTGCAAATCGACTGTCGGTTATTTATCTCATTTTGTAAACTAATTTTGCAAATGGACTGTCGGTTATTTATCTCGGTTTGTAAACTAATTTTGCAAATGGACTGTCGGTTATTTATCTCGGTTTGTAAACTAATTTTGCAAATGGACTGTTGGTTATTTATCTTGGTTTGTAAACTAATTTTGCAAATGGACTGTAGGACATTTATTTCGGTTTGTTAAATAATTTTGCAAATGGCTGTCTAACAATATTAGTTTCTCTTGATTTGATCTAAAAATACATTCCAGTGTTATGGAACTATAATTTTAGGCTGTTATGTTTAGATAATTTCATACTTGAAGACATTAAAATTATTATTTGAAAGGTACTCAAGATCATGGGTGTAGCAATAATATCTATTTATATTCTAATGAACGATAAATAAGGAATTTAAAAATCAAAAATAAACGATTGCGCTGGGCCTTAGCATTTGGCATTTGTTCAAGGGCATGGACTTGTTCGTGTTTGGGGCCTGGGCCTTAATTTTGTCTAAATCTTGGGTCTCAATAACATTCGTCTACTGGGCCCCAATTCATTTCCAGACTGGGCTCATTTTCGCCACACTGGGCCGCGATATTCTATTTGTTGGGTCTAATTTTTCTACCAATTGGGCCTGATTTTATTATTGGCTGGGCCTGATTTTTTCTTGTTGGCTGGGCCTCATTTTTCCCAACTGGGCCGTAGTTTTTATACTGGACTGGGCATCATTTCCAAGAAATGGGCCTAAGATTTTTATGAATAGGGCCCTAATTTTTTTGTTGACTGGGCCTAAGTTCATTTCCAAAAATGGGCCTAATCTTTTTCTTGAAGTTTGTCCTGAGTTTCGTTCGTTTCAGGCCCCGATTTTATTGGAGGGGATGAGCCTACTGATTTACTAATGAAGTGGGCCTGGATTTTTTTATTTGCTAGGCCTCATTTTTGTTTATTTGCTAGGCCTCATTTTTGTTTATTTGTTAGTCGTCATTTTTAATGGGATTGGGATTTGTTAGTTAATTTCGGTATAGTACGTCTTTATATGCCTCAACATTTTTCTTTGACGGCGCTACTTATTTTTATTTTGGAAATGTTCATCAGTATTTTAAATCTGTACGGGCCGCCGTTGCTATTGTTGGGTTTCTGTTTTGTTACGCTGATTTCAATTTTCTGTTAAAATCAAAATATTTGCAAGGAATTGTTTGCTATAATGATGATTATAATAATGAACTAATTGCCTATATCAAAAACCAAAAAATAATAATTTCCCTTGTATCTGTAATTTTTAAGTTCTAAATAATAATAACAACAGTTTTAATAGTAGTAGTTTCATGCATGGTTTGTACTTTATGAGCTTTTTTTCGAACGGCCCATCGATATTGTGGAAAATGGCTTAACGGGCTGGGCTGGATTCAATGTTTCCTCATGGGCTAAGTAAGGCAGCCCCTGATATCAGTGGGCCGAAAGGGCTGCCATCAAAGCGCCGAAAGGGCTGGTCGTGCGGCCTATTTCTTCAGCAATAATTAGAAGTCCCAGAGAAATATTGCTGAAGAAATAGGAATGGTGTTGTGCTGCTGCTGTGCAGCACATGGGCTTCATTTTACAACCAACACTTTACAATCTTTTTCGTATTTCCTTCTCTCACCAAATAACCCACATTAAAAAAAAATCACTTACATTGGTTAACGGCCAGCACCTCAGAAGCCAATCCTTGAAGATGGCTTCCGTTCTTTCACGACTCCAATCCCAATCGAAGAACAACTAGAAATTTTGAGAGCAAAAACGCATTAAGGTTTGAAAATATTACGCAAATCATGTATTATTGTGGTAGTCCTTTAAGGAGGATTCCAATTCACATATGATGCAAATAGGCAAAATTATGTTGACACGCACGTACCTCAGGGTTTCAATGTGTGTTATGCACCACAACTTCTGATTTATTGCACCTAAGAATCCAACTTCTCCAATCGAAGTTTCCACGTTGAAAACCTAGTCATGCTGCGTGCGAGTAATATACAAACAAATGAGATATTCTAAAGAAAAATAAACTAAGAAATTTAACAATGAGTTTGTACTACCTAGGCAGAAACTCGTATTCGATTTGCAATAAAAGCAAACTCCTTTTAGTACAAATGTAAAATGTGCAATGCAGATTCACTCGTAGTAAAATTCCCTTGGCTTGAGAGTGTCCATTTCATCTAGAGTTAATTAATGAATGAACCTACCAGCAACTATTAACATTGTTAAGAGGAAACGTAAAACGACAGTTATATGAGCAAAATTAATCTAAAATCGTGCAAAGACACCACCTCTTCAGAAACTCGCACATGGATTATGGAATAAAAAAAAAAAAAAAAAGAACAGGTGCAGGTGCAGGTGCAGGTGCAGGGGGGATACAGAAACTAGAGAACTCATCCCACTTACCGAAACTAAATGATGATGATCATCATTTATGTCTCTACTGGTATCAAAGAGACACATTAATCCATCAACGGAAGCAGAAACAAGATTGCTTTGTTGACCAGGAACAAAATGAACCTGCATTTACTGCCCGTCGTAAGTCAAATATTTTAATTAACAATCCCAAAATTTGACATGCAATTCTATTGTAAGGACCAAACAAATATTTAATTCGTGGTTAGAGCGAATATCTAATAAAATGTACTAAAATATTACAAGATGTTTAATATGTCAAATCATGCCACCCTTTCTTACACCTTTCATATAAATTGAATTCATAACATGCTGATCTTCAATACAGGGCAACATTCAAATTACCATATTACCATATTTTTTCTAGCCAGTCTCCAGATTACCATATTTTTCTCTTTTATTTTTTTTCGTTTATCTGTTTCAGGTTTGTTCAGGTAGAATAAGGAAACTACTAGTGTTATACTTGCCAAATACTTCTACATAGTCGAAAAACCAAAGGCATCTAATTACCTCAGTTATATCCTCCAGGTGACTTTCCTCCAAGCATTAATCTGTTCTATTCTCCTCCAATCCCGGAAATGTATCTGCAGATACCGAAGTAGTAAAAGCAAAAGATTATTCAACGTACAAACTAATAACTCCGGAACGAAAACAATATAACTGCATTCCCTGAATAGATAACCTAGGTACTCGATTATATATCCTAATAAATTTGATACAAACATATGAATGAACTAACTGGCAAGTTTTTGTGGACATAATCCTATATCACTTGTCAATTTTCATGCCAATATTTCAAGATTGCATCCACGAATCCAACACTAGAGCGTAAAATCAAATCTACCCTCACAGAATACCGAAACAAATACTAAAACTTCCTGGTTAGAGTTAATATCTAATAAAATGTACTAAAATATTACAAGATGTTTAATATGTCAAATCATGCCACCCTTTCCTTACCATCTTTCTTAAACCTTTCATTTCATTCATGTAAAGAACAATAAATGATCTAAATTGAATTCATAACATGCCGACCTTCCCAAGCATTGAAATTAGCGAAGCTTTCAATACAGGGTCAACATTCGAATTAAACTGACTAAGGCTGCTGAGTTCGTCCTTCCTAGCTGTTCTCAAGATTACCATATTTTTTTTTTCATTTATCTGCTTTCAGGTTTGTTCAGGTTGAACAAGGAAGATATTAGTGTTTTACTTGTTAAATACTTCTACTTAGTCAAAAAATCAAAGGCGTCTAATGACCTGAGTTATATCCTCCAGGTGACTTTCCTCCAAGCATGCAGTCTGCTTCGTTCTCCTCGAATCCCAGAAATGTACCTACAGATACCAAAGTAGTAAAAGCAAAAGATTATTCAACGTACGAACTAATAACTCCGGAACAAAAACAATATAACTGCATTCCCTGAATAGATAACCTAGGTACTCGATTACATATCATAGACACAACATAAATTTGATACAAACATATGAACCAACTGGCAAGTTTCTGTGGACATAATCCTATAGCACTTGTCAATTTTCATGCTAATATTTCAAGATTGCATCTACGAATACAACACTAGCCAGTTTCCAGATTACCATATTTTTCTCTTTAATTTTTATTTTCGGTTGTACAGGTTGAATAAGGAAGTTAGTGTTTTACTTGCTAAATACTTCTACTTAGTCAAAAAACCAAAGGCATCTAATTACCTGAGTTATATCCTCCAGACGACTTTCCTCCAAATATGCAATCTGCTCCATTCTCCTCGAATCCCAGACATGTATCTACAGATACCGAAGTAGTAAAAGCAAAAGATTATTCAACGTACGAACTAATAACTCCGAAATGAAAACAATATAACTGCATTCCCTGAATAGATAACCTAGCCCTAGGTACTCGATTACATATCCTAGGAGAAGAAATGGGATATATATTTACGCAGCATAAATTCGATAAAAACATATGAACAACAGCTTACGAAGTTTCTGTGGACATAATCCTACATCACTTGTCAATTTTCATGCCTATATTTCAAGAGCGTAAAATCATCAAATCTAGGTTTTCAGGTTTTCATGCCTATATTTCATATAAATTGAACTCATAACATGCTGATCTTCAATACAGGGTCAACATTCAAATTACCATATTACCATACTTTTCCTAACCAGTCTCCAGATTACCATAATTTTCTCTTTTATTTTTATTTTCGTTTATATCTGTTTTCAGGTTTGTTCAGGTAGAATAAGGAAGCTATTAGTGTTTTACTTGCCAAATACTTCTACATAGTCGAAAAACCAAAGGCATCTAATTACCTGAGTTATATCCTCCAGGTGACTTTCCTCCAAGCATGCAATCTGTTCCGTTCTCCTCCAATCCCGGAAATGTATCTACAGATACCGAAGTAGTAAAAGCAAAAGATTATTCAACGTACGAACTAATAACTCCAAAAGGAAAGCAATATAACAGCATTCCTTGAATAGATAACCAAGGTACTCGATTACATATCCTAGACGCAACATAAATTTGATACAAACATATGAACTAACCAACTGGCAAGTTTCTGTGGACATAATCCTATATCACTTGTCAATTTTCATGCCAATATTTCAAGATTGCATCTACGAATACAACACTAGCCAGTTTCCAGATTACCATATTTTTCTCTTTAATTTTTATTTTCGATTTGTTCAGGTTGAATAAGGAAGTTAGTGTTTTACTTACTAAATACTTCTACATAGTCAAAAAACCAAAGGCCTCTAATTACCTGAGTTATATCCTCCAGGCGACTTTCCTCCAAGCATGTAATCTGCTCCGTTCTCCAATCCCAGAAATGTATCTACAGATACCAAAGTAGTTAAAGCAAAAGATTATTCAACGTACGAACTAATCAATCCGGAACAAAAACAATATAACTGCATTCCCTGAATAGATAACCTAGCCCTAGGTACTCGATTACATATCCTAGGAGAAGAAATGGGGTATATATTTACGCAGCATAAATTCGATAAAAACATATGAACAACTGATTACGAAGTTTCTGTGGACATAATCCTACATCACTTGTCAACATTCATGCCCACATTTCAAGAGCGTAAAATCAAATCTAGGTTAACAAGCAAGAATAGGAAATTAATCTAAACATACTTTTATTTTGTTGTGAATTTTATTATAATCAATAAACATGAGAAAGGATAATAATAACTTAGAATTGCATCCCGCTGCAAGAAGATTACCCTCAAACGAGAAGCTTTAAGGGTACTATCCATGGTTCACCGGAACGCCGCTATAACGGCCGGAACGAGGTTAGTCGAATCGAATTGACGGACTTTTTTGTGGATTTTGACGGACTTGAGAAGCACGAACGGGTCGGCGTCGTAGGCGGAGAGCGAAACTCGGCGCCGGCGGCGATAAGGTTGCGGGGGAAGGAGGAGATGGCGGGAGGGGAGTACAAGGCGACGGAGGTATGGTAGAAAGGAGCCGATCTCGCCGGATGAAGAGAGGTCGTCGATTTTGAAGGTGTCGTCGTCTCCGCCGGATACGGCGACGGAAACCGGCGACGGTGACGGTGATGGCGACGGTTTTGATTGGAGAAGAGTGGGGTTAGGGTTTGGGTACCAAATAACCGCTCGTATGATACTGCAACCAGACTCATCTTCCCTAATGATTTCTATTAAAATAAAGACATATATTAGAAATTACACTTTAACCCCTAAATCAGTAAATTGGAATCGTTTGCATTTTTTTCTTTTTTCACCTTTTGCAAATTTAAAGGTTTCAAGGGGATTGTTGAACATTAATATAACATTATTTTTTTTAATTGTAATATTATTTTATAAATTATTATATTACAATTTCGATATCGATAACTTTAGGGCTGGACATCGGTCAGTTTTATCGGTTTTTTCAAATTACTAGTCAAGTTATTATGACGTTGACGAAGTCCAATCAAGCGTAGGAGTTGTCTGAACACGAAGGAGTAAATTCATCTGCTCAATCACTTCGAATACTAACACTATAAACTCTAAATTTGATTTGATATGTTTTTTCAATTTCTTAAGTTCTTTAAGTTTTATATTATCGTTATTTTTTTTGTTGGAACATGTTATAGTCTAAACAAGGAGACAAAAACTCGGGGGAATGTGTAAATATCAAAAGTATAGGGGTATATTTATCTGTAAAAAAAAATTATACATTTCATACAAATAAATATATATTGAAGATAAATATTACAATCAACTATCACATTACAATTGATCATTAAATCATGTAATTAAGTAGGGAAGTAATTTTTTTTTTTTTAAATTTGCTATTTCAAATATGTTTTAACTTTTCAGATATTATAAAATAGCCCAATGTGTCCGATATCTGTCCTCGAATGTCGTACACAAAACTTGTCCGAAATGCGAATATATTAAAAAGTTGTAAATTTCTGTGTTACGTACCCGCTATTTTAGAC